CCCCCTGCGCCCTCCTGGGGAACTGCACGCGCCCCTCGCAATCCCCGACTCCCAAGCAGACAGTGGCCCGGCCCGCAGGTCTCCCCCGGCGGATGGTTCGCTCCGCCACGCCTACAGAGGCAGCGCTCAGGCTCCGGCGGCGTTTCAAGACTCCCGCGTCTGAGCCGCGGTAGAGGACCTTTCCAGGCCCTCGCCTTCCGGACCTCTCCAGTGTTGGGGACGGTGGTCCTCAGTGCTGCGCCCCGGCACGCACTTAGACGCAGCCTTGAGTCGGGCTAGTCCCTGGGAAGCCGACCAGCCTCAGCTTCAGAGCTTCTCGAGCGATGTCTGTCTCGCTACCCATACTAGAAAGAGCTTGGTTTTAACCCCAGCTTCACCCCCTCCTCCACAGACACTATTCCAGGATTCGCGACAGACACACACGACACTCGGTGAGGGTTAATGATCTTTAAATAAGGTGCAAGTAACAATAAATAATACTGTACAAGGAAGGAGGGTCCTGCTCTGTGATTTCAGCCTCGAGACTCCAAGGACCTGTAAGGATGTGGAGAGGGGAGGTTTAGGCATAGAGGAGGTTCAGTGGGGCACATGTTCAAGGGTAAGGTTCTGGAGACAACGGTTCAGAAAAGCAGGCACAGAGACTCTGAGATCAGGGAGTCAGAGGGTCCCAGGGCTTTGGCTACTATGGTAGGGGTCAAGGTCAGGAAGCCCCGGTGAAGAGCCAAGGATAAAGGAGCAAGGCCTGGTTTGGGAGTCTGAGGTTGGAGAAGGCAGTGGGGGGGGGGGGTAGTCTCTTGGAGGCTCACGTGTAGCTGTGGTGCTGCTGGCGCCGACGGGCAGATCGCATCTTCTCAAAGCGGGCTTCCATCTCCTCCAGCACCCGAGGGGTATATCGAACCACCAGTTTCACTGAGCCCTGGGCGGCCTTCAGGAGTTCCACTGCCTTTTCGTGGTGTTCGCCCTCCACACTCTGCAGGGCAGGCCTCGCACAGACTGCTGGCCCAAACCGCTGCCCTTACCACCCTACCCAGGACATGGGACCAGTGGATAGTGAGATGACTGCTAGGGTTGAGTCTCCAAGGCTTCATCCTCCCTCCCCCCAGTGGATTTAGACTCAGCACCTACACCCTGAAACCTGCCATGTCACTACAGCTTAGAGTCCCTAGTCAATGAATGAACCAGGCCACTGAACCTGTTTTCATCCTTCCAGAGTCCTGGAGAGGTCCATCTACATCCCTAAGCCTAATGCTCTCCTTTCCTCACAGCCCAGGAACAAAAACCCAGCTTTTCTGGCCAGACTACCTCCTTGGCAGTGGTTCCTTGGATTCTAATCACTAGAGTTTCAGGATGGTGGGTGGCCCAGACTTCTATCAGAGCCAACCTTTCACCTCATGTCGGGGAGTGCAGTTACAGACCCTATCTGTTCTCATCCAGAACTACCCCCCATTCTTGAAGGAAGAATGGGGAGTGCAGTTACAGACCCTATCTGTTCTCATCCAGAACTACCCCCCACCTCTTAGTCCTAGATACTCATCCTTCAACATCCAATCCAAATATTCCTCCTGCAGAAACTTCCATCCTCTACACTGGACTGATATCCTAGCCAGGCTCTCCTAAGTCCTTGAGGGCCAGCAGTGCACCCCCCCAAAGGGTGTCTACAAAGGCTATGCTCCCTGTGGAAGGAAAGCAACTATCCAGTGTTTCCACACAGACACTGCACCACCCACTCACCACACCATTCACAGACAGCAGCTGGTCTCCCCTCTTGAGGCCGCCATGGCGATCTGCCACACCTCCAGGGATGACTCGAGAGATATAGATGGGTGAGTTCTGCTCTTTACCACCCATGATGTTGAAGCCCAAACCCTCATCAGTTTTTGGTAGTTCCACGACCCTGGGATGTGCATGTCCCTCACTGGCTGTGAAGGCAGCCACTGTGGCCTGAAAGAGAGGAGGTGCCTTAATGTGAGGGATTCCCCCACTCCTTGAGGGAAGGACACTCCAGCCAGGGTACAAAGGTCAAGCAGGGATTCCTGCCACAGCTCAACAGTAAGCCACCTTGTGGTCACTGGAACCTGTGAGAACACTTGCATTCTTCCACAAGACAGGTAAATCCACCCAGGTATGTCCTCAGGACTTAGCACCTACCAATCTTGTTTTCAGACAAATGAAAACTAGCCCCCACTCCGGGGGTGAGGTGGGGACTGGACTGAGTCTGCAGGAGGTAACAAGAGTGTGGCATTGCAGATAGGTGTCCCTGTTTATGACACCCAACTGGATTGTCTTTTAGGGTCATCTTCACGGCAGGAAAGTGAGGCCAGTTTCCATGCCTGTTGCTAAAGAGAATCTCATGTGCATTCAAGTTAAGAATGTGCAGTTATTTACAGGGTATTATAAATAAATCTTCATAGGGTGGAACAGAGATGCTCAAATGAGAAGGAAGGCAGGGGAACAGACAGCTTTGGGAGGGCACTGTGCGTTTTGTGATCACCCAGAGCTGCAGGGGCAGTCGCCTACCTTAGCTGTGGCGTGAGCCCGCACCTCGGCACTGCCAGTGATGTCCAGCGTGTCATAGAGCTGCTCGTACACCTGGGGGTAGGGGACACAGCAACATCAGGGAGATGCCCCGGACGCAGACAATTTGTGTCTGTGTCCGCTTGCCCGATGTTGCCCCCGCCGCACAGCGCAAGGAACTACAACTCACACAGTTCCAAGGTGCTCACCTCGCGGATGGCAGAACAGAAGCGACTCTGCAGGACCCGCTGCAGGGCCTGCAGCTTCTGCGGGGGCAGCTCTCCACTGCGCTGCAGCCGCTCCAGCAGCTCCACGGCCCGGGACACGTCTGCAGAATGCAGTGGGGACCACGAAGGCACGCGAGGGCAGCAGGAAGGGCGACCGAGGTCAGGCTGGAAGCGTTTCGACACGGCCAGCGGGTCCCCTGAACCCCCAACCCCAGACGGGGTGTTCTTGGGGCGCTCCGCCCCAGACCCTCCCACGCCCACAGACCGCAGGTCGCGCCCCGCCCACCATGACTACACCCGCCCGCAGCATCCACGCCTGGCTGGCGTGGCCCACATAGCCTAGCGGCCACACTGGACCCCCTCGCCCTGCCACGGGAGCGCTTACCCCGCTCCAGACCCAGCGGTTCCACCAGCGCAGCCATATCGCGGCCAACACGAACCACCCGCCCAGGCGCCAGCGAGGAGGAGGTGCAGAGCGAGGCCCCGCCCACCCGGTGCCAGCAAGGAGGTGCAACGCGAGACCCTGCCCACATGGCTACCAACAGTTTGAGGCCCTGCCCTCATCACTGGCGGAGAGGTGGTGCTACAAGGGGCCCCGCCTGGCTCCCGGTGCCCCTACATCTACCAGATGCATGGGTTTGTTCTGGTTTTGATCTTCCTGTCTCACTGTAGGTGTGCTTTGCTTCTTACAGCATGTCTCTTCCCTTTCGGTACGTTCCCCTCATTTCCTCACTCACAAGCCCAGAGGGCGTGGTTTCTCAGGACGCCAAGGGCCTAGAAAAGAGGATCTTTGCGACTTGGAAGCCTGGGATATATATACCAAGAGCCTGTCTCCAGAAACCAGAAAAATAAAATCTGAAGCTGAAGATGTAACTCAGTAGTGCTAGCCTAGAATGCTCGAGACTCTGGGTCCCATCCCCAGCGGCACATAAATCATGGGTGATAGGCAATGCATGTCTGTAATCCCAACACTCAGGAGTGGAGGCAGGAAGATCAGAACTCTCTTCAAGGTCACCTTCAGATACAAACATGCACATAGAGCCTAATGGCCCACACCTTTAATCTCAGCAATCCAAGGCAGACAGATTTCTAGGCCAGCCTGATTTATATACCGAGTTCCAGGCCAACCATGGATACACAGTGAGACCCTGTTTACATACACACACACACACACACACACACACACACACACAGAGAGAGAGAGAGAGAGAGACAGACAGACAGAC